CTTCGGATGAGAGCTGGGCGTCTCTTCCCTATTGAAAGTTTGCACGTCGTCGTAGTGTAGCAAACTTCACGTAGAGTAAGACAAAAGCTTAAGCACACGCTGTCGGCACTCGATTGGGGCTCGGGTGACCAGTTGTTAGCGGAAATGAGAGGGTTCAACTTTCCGTAATCAGTCCAGCGTTTGGTATAAGTTGGCTTGCTGGTGAGCTTTTCGGCGAAGCACATAAAATCGAAAAGGAGGACGCAGTGGTCGCTAAGCCCCAAAGGGGCATCATACTCAACGTGCTCAACCATCAGTTCTTCGTTAGTGAGGATGAAGTCTAGCAGGTACGGTTGGTTGTTGGATCGGAATCTGGTCGGCTGATACGTGTTTTCGTACAACGGGGCCGTGTGAAGAAGATCATGAGGCCTGATGCAAAGGAGTTAGTAGACGGGGCAGGTTGAAATTACCCATGATGAGAAAGTGTGTGCGCTTGTGGGATAACATAAGGTGGACGTCGTGCAGTAGTCGTGCGTCCTTCTCGGGAGAGTTGTTTGGGGGGCGGTGAATGGTACCAAGACAGCTGGAGTGTTTGGCGGTTAGTACGACCTCGCACCAGATGGTGTCTGGAGACTGGAGGGCAGTGTTTGTTAACATGCTGCAACTGGGGGAGATGTCATAGTACAGTGCAACACCGCCACCTGGGGTTGCGCGGTCAGAGCGGAGAACTGACATGTGAGGAAGTTGGATTTTACCGTCGGTTATGTCGCCGGAGAGCCACGTTTAGGTCTATTAGGTCCGCTGGTGTTGACTGAAGTCGGGATTGGAGCTCCGGAAGTTTGGACATGAGGCCCTGTGCGTTCGTGTAGATACCGGTGAGGCCCGTTTGAGTAAGGTGCGCGGGAGTAACTAGGGTGCTGCCGGTCATCCGATGACCGGCAGTGCACCGTTTTTGGTTACAGGAGTGGAGCCGCTAAGGTTTGTAGTTGAGGAAGCAAGGTGTGGGTCGGCGGAGCACAGATGGGTGCTGGCGGCTGGATTGTTGAAAGAATGAAGGTTGGAATGTGCAGGTGAGTAAATTGCTCCAGGCAGTGAGGCAGGTGGTTCGGTGATGGACCGTCTGAGGACGATTTCGTCAGAGTGTGTCGGTACCGAGTTGGCTTCTGCTATAGGTCTGTGGAAAGCTGCGCCCGTCGGCACCGGGTGCCCATCTGGACGCAGGCGGATAGCTGGTGGTGCTCGTCTTTTAATAACATACCAGATGGTGGATGCATCGGTTGCCATGCTAGCGGCGAGGAATGCCACTTTCAGGAGATGAGGGGCTGTTCCTGTATAACTTGCTGGAAGAAGTAGGCGGTGAACGTCCGTTGCGGTTACGTTGAGAATTTTTATTGTCTGCTGCAGGAACCGCCATTGATTACAGTCATGCTGTTGTTGTTGTTGTTGTTGTAAGGTTGCGTCAAAGGCATGCAGTTCTGGGACGCCATGCACGATGATGGAGCATGGCTGAGTGGATGGCGTCAGCTGCTGTCCGCGCGCAGCGTGCTTTGTCCAAGAGATGTCGTGAAAGATAGAATTTGGTAAATGCTGAGAGACGCATTGTTTCGGAGTAGGTGTGCTGACAACAGGACATCTTCCGTAGCCGGGCCTGCCTGCAAGTCAACATGCAGCAGTCTTGGCTTACGGGCGCTCGGAGATATAGTGTGGCGAGTCAGTCTTGTGAGACAAATGGGTTTTGTTTCAGGGAGGTTTAACGCGGTACAGATTGAGCTCCACATAGTGGAATCATGAGAATGTCGATTCTGATGTTGCGCGTCGCTGGACTCGGGCACGTTTGTACATATAACGGAATTAGGAGTAGGGCTACACGTTATTCGCTTAGACGAACGCGGTTACATCCTCAAAACCATGACAATACGGGAATCTAGAACTGTGCTCTACAAAACATGTGCCCGGCCCCTGCTAGACTACTGCTCTATAGTATTCACCAACCTTAGAAAATGCGACCGAATAGCCCTCGAAAAGGTTCAGCGTACATTCACAAAACGCCTCCTGGGGCACTCAAGTCTGAGCTACCGTGATCGGTGCCATACACTTAAGCTCGACCCGTTTTGGCTGCGCCGATTGAAAACCAACCTCGCTTTCCTATACTCGCTCATTAACAACATCAGTGGGGGCCAAATCACCCCTGTCACAGACTCATATATCACTTCGTACCCCCTACGTGATGGACCCTACTCCATTATCCTACCAAGAACGCGCAGCAGCATTCGCGCCAACTTCTGCCTCTACAGATACGCACACGTATGGAATAGGTTACCTCTCACAATAAGGGCATCCATGAACATAAACCAGTTCCGCTTCTCTATTAGCAAATAACTCTCTGTCACACAAGTTTCCAACCTACTGAATATAAACTGTCCTGAAGAAAAGTTTTTGAAACTGGACCGGACCACTTATAATCGCCTCTTCTTACCTTCGACAATATTCCCTTCCCGACTCCACATCTCTCTCCTTCCGCGCCGTTATGCATCGTGCATCTTACTCGCGTCACTTCCTCTTGACAGCAGCTAGTCATTGTTGGCTCCATGTAGCTTGCAAGGAGCCACTTCTTGACTCTCCAACCTTCATTTTTTTCTGCCGTATGTCTCTCTAAGCTTCGCTCGCATGTTGACTTCTTCGTCGAAACAACAGATATCCAATAGTGGTCAAAGGTCTTAATGATATGGCTATTCCAGCCACTGATTCATTCTTTTCCAGAGCCACTATTTCTGCTTAGCAGCAGCTAGTCGCCATAGCTTCCATTTAACTCTGCAGATACCCGGAGCTCTGTAGGAGTCGCTCCTTTCTTACAATGTTCATTCTCTTGGATTGCTTGCGTCACAGCTCAGATGATTTGTTGATCTACTATATGCCACTGTAGGATCCACTAGTAACTGAAGGCTTAGCCCAAACTCTATTGCTCGCCACTCTTCTCTCTTTTGCCATCTGTCTCTCTTAAGCGTCGCCCGCATGTTGATTTCTCCATAAAACTGTAGGTATCCAGTAATGGTCAAACGTCTTAATGACATGGCTACACCAGCCACTGATTCATTCTTTTCTAGAGCCACTATCTCTGCTTAACGGCAGCTAGTCGCCATAGCACCCGTTTAACTTTGCGGATATCCGGAGCTCGCTCCCTTCTTACAATGTTCATTCACTTGGATTGTTTGCTTCACAGCTCAATGGTTCGTTGACCTATTATTTACCACCGTAGGATTCACTAGTAACTGAAGGCTTAATCCGAACTCCAATGCTGGTCTTTCATCTCTCTCCTAGCGCGCCATTATCCATCGTTCAGCTTACTCGCGTAAACTTTTCTTGACAACAGCTAGACATCGTTGGCTCCATGTAGCCTACAAAGAGACACTTCTTGACTCTCCAGCCTTCATTTTCCTCTGCCGTATGTCTCTCTTAAACCTCGCTCGCCTGTTGACTTCTTCATCGAAACTGTAGGTATCCAATAGTGGACAAACGTCTTAATACTATGGCTACAACTGCCTCTGATTCATTCTTTTCTACAGCCACTATCTCTGCTTAGCAGCAGCTAGTCGCCGTAGCTTTCATTTAACTCTGCGGATATCCGAAGCTCTGCAAGAGCCGCTCCTTTTTTACAATGTTCATCCTCTTGGATTGCTTGCGTCACAGCTCAGATGATTTGTTGACCTTTTATGTGCCACCGTAGGATCCACTAGTATCTGAAGGCTTAGTCAAAACTCTATTGCTGGTCACCCTTCTCTCTCCTAGCGCGCCGTCATGCGTCGTTCGTCCTACTCGCGTCAATTTCTCTTGACAGCAGCTAGTCATTGTTGGCTCCATGTAGCTTACAAGTAGTCACTCCCTGACTCTCGAACCTTTATTCTCTTTTACCGTCTGTCTCTCTTAAGCTTCGCTTGCATGTTGATTCCTCCGTCGAAACTGTAGGTATCTAATAGTGGGCAAACTTCTTAATGCTATGGCTACACCAGCCACTGATTCATTCTGTTCCAGAGCCACTATCTCTGCTTAGCAGCAGCTAGTCGCCATAGCTTCCATCTAACTCTGCGGATATCCGAAGCTCTGTAGGAGTCGCTCTTTCTTACAATGT